AATTTCTTTATATTTCCTTTTTTAAAATAATTGTTTAAATTATTTGATAAGGAAAGTAACATATGGTGCATTTATAATGCTCTACTAGCTTATGATGCTTCTTCAAAACTCAGTTTAAAATTTTATGGTGTGATTGATGAAGTAGATATTTTATATTTTGGCAGAAACCGGAACAGAAGGTGGATCAGACACTTCGTACAAACCTAGTGATTCTGAAAGTGATGAAGATGAGTTGAACCAAAGTGTGCATGATGCAGATAAAGATACAGTATTTTTTGTGTACCAGTCATCTTTGGACAAGCTTTTTACTAGATGTATGGAGTGTGGTAGCCTTTTAGATGTACAGAAACGCTTTAGAGGTACAATGGTCATCTACGAGTGGACCTGCATCAATAATCATGTTGGGCGATGGGAGTCACAGCCTCTTGTGCGAGGCATGCCTCAGGGCAACCTGGACTTAAGCGGTTCTATACTCTTCAGTGGTGGAACATACACTAAGGTGCTTGATATGGCAAATGTTCTTAACTTAAATATTTTAACAGAGCGGCATTACTTGAATATTCAACGTCCATTGCTCTTCCCTGTTGTTGAGTCGCTGTATCAGGAACAGCATCAATTGTTGCTGTCTTCTTTTCGCTCCAAACACGTTTTTTTGGGAGGTGATGGACGAAGTGATTCGCCAGGTCATAATGCAAAATACCTATCGTATTCTTTTGTTGATGAGGAAAGTGACAAAATCTTGCACTTTGAATTAGTACAGGTAACGGAAGCACCGGGCCAGGCATCAACAAATATGGAGCGCTTAGCTTTTAACAGGGGAATGCAGTATTTGCAAGATGAAAATGTTATTGTTGATGGGATTGCTACTGATAGACACCCACAGATAGCAAGTGATATGGACAAAAATACAAAGAATTGTCACATGAATTTGACATTTTCCATGTGGCAAAGAACATTGACAAAAAGTTAGGTCAAAAGGCGAAGGCTAAGGGATGTGAGGACCTGGGATTGTGGCGTACATCAATCAAAAATCATCTGTGGTGGTGTTGTTCATCATGTGAGGGTGACTACACGGTATGTAAAAAAAAGTAAAAATGTTTGGCTGTTACATACACATGCATGTTGTCTCAAATATTGATACAGTAATTACTTTTTCGGTTCTTTTAGATATCTGGTTGGTAA